AAAGTCCACTCCAAAGGGAGATATTTCATTTTTAAAAAAAATCCCTTTTCAAGAACTACAACGAACGGCTCGTTTGGACTACAGCGTTGTTTTCCGGGGTTTTGTGATGTCACAAAGTGGCCCATTAGAATATCATTACAATAATTCCCGCCTACGGAAATTCGAATGGTTGGGGGGTGGGGAGGGACGAGGCTGGTTTTAGCTGGTTTGAAAGTGATTAGAATATACAATAAATATTACAATACAAGCTACTAGCCTACATATGTACTAGTATTAAAATTCAAAGTTTATCATGCATTATGGAAATAAAGTTTCATGTCTTCAAGCCTGTACACAGTCAGCATTATTTCTCTTAATAATGATGCCTATATTTTGCTTTATCACATAGGTGTTGTATATATTTTTGAATAAATTATTGATTAAACCAACATTTAAATTATTAACTGCTTCAAAATGCATGCTGTTAACTGCAGTTAGCCTACTGTACAAATAAAACAACAACAGCACAATTACTTAACTGTGTATGGTATTTTAAAGTAAATGTGCATACCTTAGAATGCAGAAATCTTTATTCGGATTTCAGAATGAGTCGTTTGACATCCTCTGAGGTGATGTTTGCTAATGAATATGAACAAAATAAGTAGAGGAAATTCGCGCCATTTAACAATTAATTATTTAAGACATTTGCATTGTAAAAATGTGCAGGGAGAATTCAGATATATGCTGACTCGTTAGTTGATGTTAAATCGTACAGTTTTAGTTTATGGCAATACTAGGAAATAACAATATGGCGGCGCGAGGTGGCATCGCTTTTTATGACATCATGAGCAATCCACCTTAGATTTTGTAATTCTCCAACACAGATTCAAGCGAGCTGTTAGGACTTCGTGTAAATCCAATCTTTTTGAAAACTGAAGGGTATAAAAAGCACTTCTGCAGATCTGGCACTATCTTCTGTAAAAAGATCCCACAATGCATACCAGAAAAATTAGGTAAGACAAAAGCAAATATGTAAGGATAATTAATTTCAAAATGAATCGTTTGTCTTTAAACAAGATTATATAACCTTGAGGAACATGCACAAAATGGCCAAACAACTATTAACATCTGTATTTCCATTTAATGTTTCAGTAACACTTTCTATGAAGCCCATATTTATAACACATTATAAGGGTATTCTTAAGGCATTATAATGAATGCATAATGCATTATAAAAGACCTTATAATATGTTATATAATCTTATAAATAATCATAACAACAATTATAATACATTATAATGCTTACGCATTTGTGGTTATAAGTTTTAAGATTATGATTATTTATAACACACAATGAACACCATATAAAATCTATTTTTACACCATCAAAATAATCAAACTGATATTACATTTAAAATAGTTCAAATCAAATACGTCTTATTACACATTCATCTGATCTGATATCTGATCTTATGGCTGTTTGAGAAAAAATATTATTATTAATATTATTACTATACTTATAAGTGGCCTTTAATGGCTTTAAGTCAAGTAGCATAAGAAAGATGGCAAGATATGAGACTTATAATACATTATAACTATGAGAAATATAATCCATTGTAATTTAAGTGGATGCAACATGTTCACTGTGTGTTATAAATCATCATACTCTTAAAAGCTATAACCACAAATAAGTAAATATTATAAAACATTAAAACTGTTCTTATGAATATTCATAAAATGATATAACATATTATAAGGGCGTTTATAATGCATTATGCATTCATTATAATGCCTTATGAATACCCTTATAATATATTATAAATATGGGCTTCATAGAAAGTGTTACCAATGTTTCTGCTGCAAGAAGAGCCTTGATTGGCCCTTTCTATAACTGTAAGCATCTGAAATGTTACCTTAATATTAATATATAGCCATTATGTAATCTATTTCAGTAAAATTATCTAAATTCTGCAGGTATGGCATTATCTTAAGACAAAAAAATCTAACGAGAATAGCCAAAAGGTAAGATTTTAAATAAAAAAGTAAGAAAAATATGCAAGAACAATTCATTGAAAATATTGAATATCCATACTGAATTTACCTTAAGGTCAGAGAATCCTGGACTGCTTGTAAAATTTGAGAAAAACTAACTGTTCACCTCAGACAAGCACTTGGAGTTCAGACTGTTGTGTGTGAACTTGTGTTGGGTAAGACACAGGGCACAACCTAGGTTTGCAAAAATTCTTACTTAAATTTCTCTATGAATTTTCTCTTCAGTTCTCTGTGAATTGCTTATGAATAAGATTTTAATCAAATGAGAATTAAAAAAAACAATGAATAAATATATAAATGCGGTAAATTAATTTTCAATATTTCTTTCAATTCATTTTCAAAATTAAAAAAAAAATTAAAACATTTCCCTTTAGGTTGGATTGGTTCCTAGCTCTGGTGTAGTATATTCTGGGTGAGACGATCAGCCGTGAGCCCACAGCAAAGGCTGTTAAATCTGCTTCAGGAAACCCTTCAATGCCTGTACTGCTGTATTAGGGTGAGCCTGTCTGTTCAACCCAGGTAAGGACTTAGATTTGGATGTGGTGTGTCACAAATCTTTCAGGGTGATGAGCTTGGTTTGTGCATAAACAATGGCCTTGTGAAAAATGTGGACAACGTTACCAGTTCACCCCAGGGGAATCACTTGGAGTTAGGACTAGTGTGTGCTCTGTAAGGTCATGGTGGGTGGGACACAGGGCACACACTAGATTGCCAAGACACGCCACAAATGATTTTTAACACCAAATCTCCAGTGAATAGTTAACCAATCAAATGTGTGTGAGTTTGTTTGTTTTTGCATACAGCACATGAAAAGTAAATTTTGCAAAAGAAAGAAAAAATATAGGGCTTATATATTTATTTATTTATACATTCATATTTTTATTTTCAATACTTTGCACTTTAATATCAACTCTCTAAATGTGTTTTCAGAAGTATGTGTAACTGATGACACATTTAAACGTGGTATTTTTAGTTAAGTTATAAAAAAGTACTCTGTACCAATAACATTTGCAACAATGTACATTTTACTACCAAATTATATGCTATATTTATTTAATTGAACTTAAACTGTTAAGTTTTCCTCCATATCACATGATTTTGGGGGCATGTGGCCACTGCAGGCCGAGCCAGAGGGTGTTATACACAGGAAAAGAAAAGACAATGGGGTAAAACAAGGGTAAACGTTAATGGTGATTTTACAGGATAGAGGAATTTGGACAAGTGTCAAACCCATCCATCCGCTCTCATCCACGGTTGAGTATATTTTGAGCCTGTCCAAATATCCACATTTGCGGTCTTGGCCACTTGTGAGTGTGTACACTTGAGAACGTATGCAAGGAAGTAAGTACACAGCAAGACTGTCCCAGGTCCAAAAAATTCCAAAGCACACTAAATCCACACTATCTAAGCTAACTATTCTAATCTCCCAAGATGTCACGGAAACCTTTCTAGTGTAAGGTAAATATTAATGATAATTAGATATAGCATATAACTTGGTAGTAAAATAATAAAGTGTTGCACACTTTATTGGTGCAAAGATGAGTATGTATATTTTTTTTACAGTTGCAGCTGTTTTTTTTTATTACTTAATTAGAAGCACCACAAGTGAAATTATTAAATTGTGTCATCTGTTATAGGGACTACTGAGCAGACATTCAGAAGTTTATTTTAAAATGCATTTTAAAATGTAAGCAGACAAGTGGTCAAGTGCAAAGACCGCAAGTGTGGGTATTTGGACAGGCCCTTTAAAAACTGTGCAAAAACGGCTGTGTGTGAGTCTTCACAGGTATTGCACACCATGAGTGTCACACAGAACATGTTGGATTACTAAAGAGACTACGAGTTAAAAACTACTTGAGTAGTAAGTAGATTTTATTTGATTTTGAAGTTTAAGAAAATACTGTATTTTTTTGTATTTATTGCATGCAGTTTAAAGATTTCTGTAGATGAAAATATGTTTTCAGTGGTGTTTCTCCATTGTAGAATCAATCAGCCCATAGTGTTGTATATTCAAATATATATATATATATATATATATATGGTATATATGTTTTTTTTATCTAGCCTTTGAACGTGAGGGAGAAGTTACAGCCTGAGGCAGTCAGTGTGTACTCTGAGTAGCTTTATGTGGTTCTGCTGCTGAAGATGTGAATATTTAAACAGAAGACTGACAGACTTTTAGCCCTGTCACCTGCTATTATCCACACTCAGTGAACAGGGGATACATTTGCTTCAAATTGTTTATTAAAAATTCTGAAGTCTCATATCTATCAATAATATAGCACTGATTATGTACTTCACAGTGTTAAGGGTGTCAGCTAGTTATTACAAAGGTTATCTACTTACATGTTGTTTTTTTCACTTAATTATTATTATTATTTATTTATTTTTCTAATAATTTTCTACTATAGAAATAAAAATCTTTTTATTTTTTTAAACAAAGAGTACCTCAGCTGTATTGTTCAAGTCAATCCCTTACAGAAAAAAGCCCACACATGTCTACGTGTGTTCATATGTGATCACATGGGTTTCACACATTCACAACATGAAAACATTCCAAAACCACATTTCACATGTGATTTTAACATGTGATTGCACATGGGAAGGTCATGTGGTTTGTTCATGTGAACTTACCTAATTACACCTATTATATATATATATATATATTTTTTTTTTTTTTTCCCAAATTAG